GAACAAATACACACAAAAACATCAAAATTAGCACAGAAACAGTACTATATAACATTTTAGACACATTCTAGACCGTTTATCAGCTAAAAAAAAGTTAATTTTGGGGTAAGTTACTCTTTAAGAGTGAAGAGAAGATGCTGGGATTTGGAAATGGAGTTTTTTGTCCCAACAAGGAGGAGTTCAGGTTTGTTATGGTTTAGTTGAAGGAAATTGTTATTGAACTAGTTGTTGAGCTCACTGAGGCAGTTGGTAAGAGTGGAGGATGAGAAGGTGGAGTTCAGTTTTGTTGAAATGTAGAGTTGAGTGTTGTCGGCATAAGAGTGGAAATGGATACCAATTTTATGGAAGATGTGGCCAAGCGGGAGCAGATAGATTATGAAATGTAGAGACCCGAGTACAGAACCTTGGAACACCAGTGGAGATGGGTGAAGACTGGGAGCGGAAGGACTTGAGTTGTATGAACTGAGTGCGGTCAGAAGGATAGGATTTAAACCAGTCCAGTGGGGTGTCTGAGATGCCGATAGATGTTAGTCTGTTGATGAGGATAGGATGAGAGATGATGTCAAAGGCAGAGCTCAGATCAAGGAGGATGAGTATTGACAGAAGTCCTGAGTCAGCAGCAAGGAGAAGATCATTAGTAATTTTAATAAGAGCAGTTTCGGTGCTGTGATGTGGTCAAAAACCTGATTGAAACTGTTCATAGAGGTTATACTGGAGAGGTGTGAGTGTAGCTGATTAGCAACGACCTTTTCAAGAATTTTGGAGATAAGGGCAGGTTAGAAATGGGACAGAGGTTATTGAAGTTAGTCGGATCTAGACCTGTTTTCTTTACGATGGGGGTGATGGCAGCTGATTTAAAAGCTGTGGGAACAGTACCAGTGGTCAGAGAGGAGTGGGTGATGTTAGTGATGATAGGAAGCAGAGAGGGGAGACAGGATTTAACCAAAGCTGTGGGGATGGGATCTAGCTGTGAGGAGGAGGATTTGGACTTCCTAACGATGGCAGATATGTCAGCAGCAGAGGGGAGAGTGAACACAGAGAGGTGGATGGAGGGGGGTGGGAGTTCTATAAAGATGTTGGGGGCAGAGTTTGGCCCGAGATGTTGGTGTATGGAGCGGATTTTTCAGTGAAGAATGACATGAGTGAGTTACAGCAGTCAGTAGAAAGCATGTTTGGAGATGAAACTGTGCAGTTAAGGAGAGAGAAAAGAGTCTGTGTGTTGCCTACATTGGAACTGATGATGTCAGTGWAGTAGWWAGATTTGGCCTGAGCGATACTTTCTTTGTACTGTAGTGTGTGTTTTATGTACATCTCTTTGTGAACTGTAAGACCTGATTTCTTGTAGAGTCGCTCTAGTCTGCGACCTTGTGTTTTCATGGAGCAGAGTTCTGAGGTGAACCATGGAGCAGAAGTGGAGAAGGAAACAGAACGGGTTTTAAGAGGAGCAAGAGAGTGATTGTTGTTTACAGTCTGCTGCTGCTCAGCATCATCTGCTGAATGACAACAACAAAAGTTGGGAGAAAGCAGCAACGTCCACTTTGGAATTTCTTTGAATATGACTACGAGAAAAATCAAATCAAGTGTATTGTAGTGGAAACAGGTGATAAAACAGGTGGAATATTTCTCAAGGGAAAAACTGCACGAATCAAGCTCACACAAGATGGCTAACTATGACCATCTTGATACACTAGCTTCTCTCAGTAGCTCCATGAAAAACAAGCAACAGGAAGCATCTGGTTGAAGAAAACTATTTTCATCGTCCTAAAATAATCACCCAAGTTTTTAGTTGGCAAAAGTGAGTTACACAATTACTTTTAGGAATGTGTCACTATAAGGAACTGCAGTTTAACTAGTGACTAAATAGCTGCTGGTTAGTTAACTCACAGGAACATCCCAAGCTGGAGGATGCATTGGCAAATATGTTTGTTTAAACTATTAAAAAACTAATACTACAACTAATAAAAACTAAGCATTAAAAAGGCAATAATAACTAATAAAAACTAGCAAATACACTGTAAAAACTAATTAAAACTAACTGAATTAAAAGAACAAAAGCCAAAACGAAATAAAGTGAAAGATCACTGTCACATCAGCACACCAGCGATCATTTATATAAAACAGATGTGCACATCAAAACTAAATATA